TTTTCTCTCTCTCCCTCCCTCTCTCTTCTCTCCCTCCCTCTCTCTCTCCTCTCTCCCTTTCATTTTCTCTCTCTCTTGTCTCACTTTTCTCCCATTCTCTCTCTCTTCTCTCCCCCTCTCTCTCCTTTTCATTTTCTCTCCCTCTCCTTCCCTCTCCCATTCTCTCTCTCTCTCATTCTCTCTCTTCCCTCTCTCTCTCTTCCCTCCCTCTCCCTCTCCCCTCTCTCCCCCTCTTTCTCTCAGGTGGGGAGAAAGACAGATGATCCCTGCGCAGAGTAGAGAAAAGAGAGGCAAACCTAGTTAGATTCCAGGCAGAGACGCAAGCAACAGGCGCTCGGCCAAACCCTGGGATCTTATGGTAGCCTGGTGGACTTAATTCCACGTGTCCCGTCCCCCACCCAAAACAGCAGCTCCCCCCTTCCCCTCCTTAATATGGGGAAAGGACCCCCGTTAAGTATTGGTGAAAAAACCCCTTTGTCGACAGGAGGAAGGGAGGCTGCGGAAACAGAAGGGACTGTTAGTGTTTGGGGATAAACCCCCAAGCAGAGTATGCAGCAGCAGTCAAGCCAGGCAGCCAAATGAGAGAGAGGCTGGGCCCAAGAGTATACACACACTGGAGACAAAAACACTGTTTGTGGTTTTAAAATAGTTATTTAATTCACACAGAGATTAAGAAGTGTCATTCAGTCCATATATCATTATCCAGTATATCCATCCAGTTATCAAGTCCATTAACAGTAAATACAATGTCTTTATCTGCTTGTAAATCTTCTCCTCCCGATACCTTTCTCTCAAAGACAACGCTGAATCCACAGCTCACTAGGCAAACAGTCCTTGTGTTCAGTTGAAATGGTATCTGGCACAGTAGCCTCCAAAAGCAAGCAGACGTTCCAAAACAGCAGGCAGCAGACCAGGAACAGAACCAGGTGCATCCAGAAGCAGGATCTATTACGTTTCCCTTCCTACCTATATTGCTGCCTGCAACCGCACCCACAATGACATTGCAGTTTCTTGTGCTTAAAGCTACAAAACACTTAAAACTAGGCTTACATATTTATTCAACCCAAACCTGGTTGGTGTATCCATATACCCAACAGGGACCCCAGTGCCTCTTTGCTCCCCAGCGTCCTCGGGGGGCCACGGATGCTTTGCTGTGGCCGGCAGAGCAATCCGGTCCGTGGAGAAGCTCCAAGGGAGGAGCCGGTGCGGGACGAACCCTTTCTCTCCCCACAGGAGAAGTCCAGCGGCCGCACTGCCCACTACAAGCTGACCTCTACGGTGATGCTGTGGCTGCAGACGAATAAGACCGGCTCGGGCACCATGAACCTCGGAGGCAGCCTCACCCGACAGGTACAGGGAATCAGAGTGGGAAGGGACGTGGAAGGTCATCTAGCCCAACCCCCTGCCCTACCCCATTCCTGACAGAGGGCAGTTCCAGTCTCTTCTTGAAAGCTTCCAGGGATGAAGCATCCACAACTTCTGAAGGCAACTTCTGTTCCATGGGTTGATTGTCCAAAAGTTTCTCCTTGTTTCCAAGTTGAATCTCTCTCCTTGTTCAGTTTCCATCCATTCTTCCTTGTCTGGCCTTCGGGTGCTTTGGAAAATAGCTTGACCCCCTTCCTCCTCTCTGGGGCAGCCCCTCAAATACTGGAAGACCGCTATCATGTCTCCCCTGGTCCTTCTCTTCCCTAGACCAGCCAGGCCCGGTTCCTGCAACCGTCTTATCGTAGGTTTTAGCCTCCAGTCCCCTCATCCTCCTGGTTGCTCTTCTCTGCCCTCTTTCCAGAGCCTCAACCTCTTTTTTAGAGTGTGGTGACCCAAACTGGGCGCAGTATTCCAGGTGTGGCCCTACCAAGGTGTTACAGAGTGGTAGATTTATAGAGTTTCTGTCCAGACAGAACCAGGTAGTTCTTGCTCTCCTCAGGCTTCACTCCGGACCTCCCGAAGGAGCCTGTGCAGGTAATGGAAAAAGGGAGGAAGCCGCTCAAGGCCGCTTTGGCCGATGCCTCTCAAATTTGGGTGCTTCCCAGGATCGAATCCTCCCTTCTCTCCCTCCTGCCTTGCACCAAACAGCTGTTGCACGTCTGTAATCTCTGCCATCTTCTCCCCGTTGTCAGCTCCTCTCAGCAGCAGTTATAACAACCTCCTCTCTCTCTCTCCCCCCATCTCTCATCTGCAGTGGGTCTCTCTGCCCCCCCCATCCCTGCTGCTTCCAGAAGGGGAGGGGGAGAGGGGAGTAACGGCATGCATGCCCTCCCCCCTAAGTTTCTCAGTTCAGAACTTGGGGGACACCTGTGCCCTGTTCTTAGGGGGGTGGGGGGGGCGCCCCCTCCCTCTGGGCCCTGAGACTCTGCAGAAGGTTGCAGAATCGCCCAAGAGAACCTCCTGGGGGGGGGCACAAAATCCCTTCCCTGCCTCCTCTGCCCCCACCTCCCCATCGCCCACACCCACCCAAACAAAGGCCTGAACCTCCCTCCCTGCCTCCCTTTAAAATAAAATTAAAAAACAAAGACGTAGGACCGGGGCGGCTAATTGGAGCTGGCACCCGGCTACCCGCAGGGCATCGCTTGCCTGGAAGGCACGTTGATTAGATTACATGCCCCGGCGGGCCCCCCTGCGTCCCTGCGATGTTCTCCCGCTCCTTCCAAGGACCTCCCGTGGCAGGAGCATTCCTTGCCTGGCCTTTGTGGAAAGTGGGGTGGGGGCAGAGAAGACCCTCTGCTCCATCTTGGTCTGCTGTGACCCCCATCACCACCACCACCCCGGCAGAAGGCCGATAGGCCCCTCGATCTTGTTTCTGTATGTGGGTTGGGATGACTGACCATTTCCCTTCGGGTGGGGCCCAGCCTCGCTTCTGCCGACCCCTGGGCGGGTGAGGCTCTGCGGCTGCCCTCTTCCTCCTCCTCCTCTTCCTCAGCTTTTTCCTTCCTTCCTTCCTTCCCAGATGGAGAAAGACGAAACGGTGAGCGATTCCTCTCCGCATATAGCCAATATCGGCCGTCTGGTTGAGGTAAGCCACCCTGTGATGGAGAGGGGGGTGGGTGGTTTCCTTTCTAAACTCCCCCCAAGACCGTGGGCTCAGGAAATGGGGTGAAGGGGCCTCCTAACCTCTGACCCTCGGGTTTGGCTAGTAGGCAACAGGTTACCTGATGAGGGACCCCCTCTTGCCGGTCACCTCCACCCGACCCGTCAGAGCAGGGAGGCAGGGAACATTGGGGGGTCCCATCCCCGAGGGAGACACACCTGGTGGGACCCAGAAGCAGGGCCTCCTCCGCGGTGGCTCCCTCTCTCTGAAACCTCATTCCCCCCGAGATTAGAGCGGCCCCCACTCCAGCTCTCTTCCGGAAGGTCCTGAAGAAGAAGACCTGGGGAACCCAGAGAGGGATGGAGACCGTCCAATTGGATGGAAATTGGGAATTGGGGGGGTGATTCCCCCCCTCAATTGTTAGTTTTTCTTGTTTTAAACATGGTTTCACATTCCGTGAGCCGCCTCGTGTCGCCGTGGCCGAATAGGCGGCTATATTAATCCAACCCATCAATAACCAGTCAATAAACAAACTGGTGAGCCCGTCGGTTCGAAAGTACGTCTCGGATTCTAGGCCTCTCCGGGGCATCGAAACCGTCACATCTTCGCCCCTGCTTTTGCAGAATGAATTGCAAACCGGGGGGGGGGGGGGCAGGCTTTCTCTGTGTGTGTGTGTGTGTGTGTGTGTGAAGAGAGATGGTAGTGTTTTGTTTGGACCTCCTTCTCCCTGCCAGTTACCCAAGCGCCTAGGGGAGGAAATAGGGAGGTTGCCCCTAAACTTTGGAGAAGATCCGGAAGCAGAGGGGGGTGAGGAAAAAGCTGCTTCTTGGTGCTGCTTCCTGGCCTTAAAATGCTCCTTTTGTGCCTCTCAGAGTCTCCTCATCGCTTGCTGGAGACGGGCCTTCTCCCTTAGAGGGGCATCGGGTGCGAAAGATGCAGTTTGGGGGGGTACAAGTTCCCCCAGCCGGATGCTTTTGAAAGCCGTGGCAAAGCAGGCTCGGCCCTTGCCCGTCCCTCCTTGCGCCTGCTGGGGAAGGTGGAGAGGCTGGTGTGTGTCCCCCCCCCATAAGAAATGGGGGCAGCTGCTCCTCAAAATGGGGGGGGAAAAAGGCCCCCTTTGCTTTTGCAGCTGCCTGCTGCCCCCTGGTGGCCGAGACCCCACCTGACCGTCGGTGGAGATTCTCAGCCATCCAAGTCGTGGCTGTTCCAGATGGGTTTTTTTTTTTCAGGCCGCTGGGCCTTCTTGTTTTCCTTTTGAAGACGTTTCCCTTCTCACCCAGGAACAGGACAGTGGGGAACGGAAGGATTTACACTCCTCGCAGACAGAGCTGGTCATTGGCATCCTTTGAGAGGGTCCTTGAGGCCACTTGGAGGTTTCTCTGTGTCCTCGGGGTCCCCTGAGTGGGGCTCCTGGTCCCGGCAATCTGCAGTTTTTCCCCCCTGGAAGCCCCTTCCCATTCCCACGTCATTCCAAGGGGGTCCATCCCAGATTGTATGGAATAAAAGTCTGTAGAGATTCCCCGTCCTCCGGGTCCTGGTTGTCCCGAGGGCGCTTTTTTTTTCAGGAGGCAACTGGACTTTTTCTTGGTCTTTTATTTGGAAGATGTTTCGCTTTTCACCCGAGAAGCTTCTTCAGCCCTCGCTGGACGGTGGGGAATTGGAAGGATTTACACTCCTCGCAGACAGAGCTGGTCATTGGCATCCTCTTAAGGAGGCGCCGTTACCCTACCTGACAGTTAACCTGGAAATCTTGAGCTGCGGGATTCCCTCAGTTTATTCCCTGTTCGATACCGTGAAAGGCTACGATTCTGCCAAATGGATTCCAAGCAGAGCGGGTTCTCTCTTAAGAAATGCCCCGAGATGACAGGCTGCAAAGGGAGAAGAATGGGAATTGGATTAAAACTCCCGTTACAGAATAGGAAGGATGTGAGAACAGGCCGCATGGAAGAGCCTTTGGAGTTGATGGCTCCAGTTGGGAATCGTCTTCAAGGGAGGGTTCGGTTGAGTAGATGCTCTCCATGGGCCTCATAGGAGACCGGAAGGCCTGGGGTGTGTGTGTGTGTCTCTTGGGGGCGGGGGGCTAAAGGTATGGGGAGCTTCTCTCTCCATGGGCTAGTCTAATGCTTCTCCCTGTCTCCTGTCTAAAATCTCAGGGCCTTGGGATGATAGATTAACAGAGTTGGAAGGGACCTTGCAGGTCATCTAGTCCAACCCCCCCCACCCAAGCAGGAGACCCTACCCCATTTCTGACAGATGGAAGTCCAGTCTCTTCTTGAAAACTTCCAGTGATGAAGCTCCCGCCACTTCTGAATGACAGAGTAACAACAGAATAACATAAGTTGGAAGGGACCTTGCAGGTCATCTAGCCCAACCCAGGCAGGAGACCCTACACCAGTGGTGGCTAATCTTTTTGGGCTCCTGTGCCAAAAATTGCGTGCGTGCGTGCTTGCACTCACGCATTCGCGTGCCAGCACCCAGAAGACAATGCACGCAGCCCCCCCACCCCCTGCCCATGCGTGTGCGATCCCCCCACTGCCCCCTTATCTACACCTCCCAGCTGATTTTCGGCCCGCATGAGGCCTTTTTCGGCCTCTCAGAGGCTTGAGGGAAGCCTCTGCAGCCTTTGCAGGACGAAAAATGGACCCTTTTCACAGGAAGGCTGAAAAAGGCCTGAAAAATCAGCTGGGAGGAGGAGCATGCCTGCGCAGTGAGGTAAGTCTGCCTGGGGCTCGCCTGCCATAGGTTCACCCTCAGGGCCCTACACCCTCCCCATCCAAATGGCAGTCCAGCCTCCCCTTAAAAAAGCCTCCAGGGATGAAGCTCTCACAACCAGGCATTCCGCTTCTCATCCAAGGAGCTTCTTCGGCTCTTGACTGGATGGTGGGCGATGATTTCAATGCTTGTTGTGACTTCCAGTGGCCACTAGAGACAAGGTTGTAAGTCAAGGACTGTCCATTATAAGTCAAGGACTGTGACCATGAGTTCTCTCTCTTTCTCTCTCTCTCTTCCCTTCTAGGACATGGAGAATAAAATCAGAAGTACGCTGAATGAGATTTATTTTGGAAAGACAAAGGACATTGTCAACGGGCTGAGGTAACAACGGATGGACCGCAGTGCTGTGGTCGTATTTATTATATACACATATATATTTGTCGAAAATGGCCTAAGGGCCGGGGTCCCCAAACTTGGCCACTTTAAGACTTGTGGACTTCAACTCCCAGAATTGTCTCCTGCAAACACACCCCTCCCCTTTCGCTCCTCTTTATTCGTTCCATTCACCGTCCACCTGAGCCTTTACTCCCGAGTTGACCTTTGTTCCTTAACTGTTCCCTTCGTCTGGCAGCTCTGCGCATGTGCACACTGGGAACAGGCTCCCGCTGTTCTTCTTCCCTACTGATCTCCGAAGGCCGCTGATAACTGTCGGATGGCCCTGGCTCCACCTCTGCCTCCGACGCAGAGCCCTCGTCCGAGCCTTCTCCAGACTCCGGGACTGGCCCATGCCCCTCCCCCCTGTCCAAAAGCTCTGCTGGCTGGAGAATTCTGGGAGTCGAAGTCCACAAGTCTTAAAGCGGCCAAGTTTGGAGACCTCTGGCCTAGGATCTCCTTGCTTGAGCAAGGGGGGACCTGGGCTAGAACAACTCCTGCTATTCTGTGAAATTTGTCTCCCCCTCCCCCCCCCCCCCAGAAGAACAGCCCTGGCAGATTGATTGACAGGCCTGCCTTCCATTAACCCTTTCCGCCTTCTCCTGGTCAGTTCTGCCCTCGATTGGCTGGTTCAGAAGGATGGGATGGGTAATCCCGTCCGTCCCTCAGCCAGAAGGGGCCTATTTTGGAAAAAGGCTGCCTCAGATTCCACCACCACCCCTCCCCTCCCCCGAATCCGCCCCCCCCCCCCCCCCCCCCTTTTTTTCCCCCCCAAACTTGACCGCATCGGCCGTAGCGGAGTTGCCCTGCTGGGCGTGATGGTGCCGCCGCCGGGCCTTCGGTGCCCGCTACTCCAGTTTAAGCCTTCTGGAGCCAGAGGAAGAGTTGATGGTTTGTTGGGAACACACACATTGGAAGAAAGGCTCCGGAGGATGAAGGGTTACTGGCATCCTTTCCTTTCTCTCTCTCTCTCTCTCTTTCTCTCCCTCTCTCCCTCTTTTCGTCTGCAAAATTGGCACCGGGAGACTCCCAACCGCTCTTCCTCCTCCATTTTTCCTTTCCCTTTCCCGCTCTCCACCCCTCCCAGCCGCTCTGCCCTTCTTCCTCGTTGTGTTTCTCTCTCTCTCTCTCTCCGCCGACTTGTCTGACCTTTTCTTTCCTTCCTTGGGCCTTCCCTCTTCCGCCTCCACCCCTCCGCTTCGCTCCAGATCAATTGACGCTATTCCCGACAACCAAAAATATAAGCAGTTGCAGAGGGAGCTCTCCCAGGTTTTGACCCAGCGCCAGATGTACATTCAGCCAGATAACTAAAGCAGCCCAGGTACACCTCCCCCCCACCCCCCCACCCACCCCCAACGCTGAAACTGGCTTACAGGGGCACCTCGGCACTAAAAACCAACCACTCCCTGTGACTTGAGAGCATGGAGGATTTCGGGCTTCACCCCCACTAACTCCCTAATTCTTGCAAGTCCTCTTGTTGTTGTTGTTTTCGTTTTAAGGAAAAGGACAGAGGGAGCCTCCCGATAACATTTTTACGTTTGCTCTCCTTGCCTTGCGGTGTGGAATTCCCTTGCACTTGAGAATGTGACCGCCACGGGACTCGGCCTGCGTGGGGTGTGGTTTTTGCGAGCAATTTCCAACCCTGGAGCCAACACAAAAAGCCCCCGTCCCCACCCTCGGCCAGGCTGCCGTTGGAGATCCTCCCTTTAACCACCACTTGGGGTTGACTTGGACGGACCTGTCC